CTTTATCTCCTTTCTCTTCTTTATCTTCTTTATCTTCTTTATCTTCTTTATCTTCTCTATCTTCTCTATCTTCTCTATCTTCTCTATCTTCTCTATCTTCTCTATCTTCTCTATCTTCTCTATCTTCTCTATCTTCTCTATCTTCTGTATCTTCTTTATCTTCCTATCTTCAAACTGATCAATGCACCACAAACCTTTTCGCAATAAATCTCAAACATCGATATAAACACTTCATATTGTGTTCCATTGTTTTTTTTCTTATTCTTCTCGATTCTTTTAAAAAGATCTTCACAAACGATTGGCACAATGCCTAAAAATCGTTTTTTTTTTTTAATTATTGAAATTCCCAACCTTTATTTTCTTTATAGCCAACCATCGAATAACTTTTCCCACTGCCCGTTTGTCCATAGGCAAAAAGGGAACAGTTGTAGCTGAAAAGTTTTATGTTTAGATTTCTTTTTGCTTGCTCTCACCCTTTCCATGCATTGTCCAGCACACCTTTTCCCAAATCATCAAAAACTTTTTTCTGAATACTTTCATTTTATTTTCATCCATTTTTTTTTCTTTCTTTCAAACCTGGTCCGCATATTTTGAGTCACTTGGCGCCAAATAGCCGCTGGATTCCGTTTTGTAACCATCGTGTGACCAATACGAGTGATCAAACGTGAACATTTTTGGCTCTTCCGACATATTGCTTGGATCTCTGAAAGGGGTTTTTCAAGTAGAAATGAAAAGCAAAAGAGTATAAAACTGTTTGAAATTGTGAAACCTGATCCCGGTTGACTTCCCGTCGGCCATCTCAATCACCAATTGAGCTTTCATCGCTTTCTCGCGATCGTTAAAAGGCCTCACCCTCACCGCCACCACAATGTTATCACCCGGCATTTTCTATTAATTGTAAAAATTGTAAATCGAATTTATAAACTATGCCTTCGTTTTTCTTAAACCTAAACAGTCATAAGTCACCAAAAATTTCAAATTGAACAAAATTCATTAGAGAAAACTATACAGAAATCAAATAGATAGCTAAAGCTAGAGGGGAAAACGATTTCTAAAGGATATTTTGAAAGAAAACGAGCTGAGCACTCAATAATGCATACTAAGGAATACACTTATACAAACAGATGCACAAAAAAAGACAAGGCTTCACAATTTTTGCGATTTTAGTGGCTCGAGCAAACGGGTAGCCATGGCGTTGCCACTGGAGAATTGGTCCATCTCTTTTTACCCCCTTTTCACCCCTTCTTTTCCCCTTTCCACAATCATCATCCACCATTCTCTTGCAAAATCTTTTATACGATCTTTATGAAATCAAAAAATGAAATATGAAAAGATTGTTTAAAAAATTACTAGCTAAATTGTGGAGCTAAGGAGGAGAGATTTGCTTATTTCCAATTCGTTGTCTCTTTTCTCTGATCAACTACATAATGTATAGATGTCATGTTTGAATCCGGTGCAGTGTTCCAACCGGGCTCGGACGTTCGAATTCGATCAGATGATCAGATGAGATTAGAAAATAGAATCAGACGATGCCACGTTACATTTTTGCTTTATCATTAACCTTTTTATTTATGCTTACATCTAGTTTTTTACGAAACTTTTTTATTCAGGATGGAATCCGTGTTTGACGAGCAACTAGACAAATTTCTTCAAGGTCGACATCTGTTTCCCAGCAAGGCGGCTTTTGAAGGGACAATCAGCAAACTGCAATCTTCAACATTCAATTCCGGAAAAAGAGATCTCTGTGAGAACTGCCGTTAGAGCATCGATGACGGGAAGTCATCGTGAGGATTTTTGATAGGATAGATTGGATAGTTTTTTGTATTGATTTCGTTAATTCTAGTCATGAATTCAGGCCATGCTCACTGCATGTGTCTGGGCAGATACACCACGAATCGATGTGCATGCTGAAAAAAGAACTGCTTTGCAACCCAAGATGCCATCATTCACGTAGCTGCACTAATAAATGTTTTTATTGCTTTTTCTTGTTCTTTTTGCATTTGTTATGTTTACCCAATCTTTATTTGTTTTTTACGTTTTGATAAAAGTTAACTGGTAAAAAAACATCAGATTGCATCGCACTAAACCTACCGTAAATACTGTAATAGTACCCCACCACCTATAATGACGGTGCGGAGTGTTGTGTAGCCTAGCTTTGAACGAGTTTTTCTCGACACTGTTTTATGCTACAATGTGCGCTTAGATATCAAAAAAATAGCCCTGAATTTCAGCTATTTTTTGATACCAAAGACGCATTTTTTGAAAGTACGGGCGCTTTGAAAAAAATGAAATACTAAAAAACTTTTGCGACTACGCGACTGTACGAGGGGGCTGGGGTACTATTACAGTATTTACGGTAAGTTTTCATTCTCTGTCTTTTGACATCAAAATAGGTTTCTGTGACAAAAGGTACTCAAATCAAAACTTTAATTTTCATCGTTTTGCCCCTCTTCACACCTTTAAAAAGATTAACTAACGCGAGCTTTTCAGCTTTTCTTAAAGAGTAATTTGTAAATAAATAATAGGAATTTTTGATAAAACAAATCATAGATCGATTGGTTCATTATTCATTTGAAAAAAAGGAAATACTAAAAAACTTTTGCGACTACGCGACTGTACGGGGGGATGGGGTACTATTACAATATTTACGGTATGTTTTTAAGAAGCTAGAGTTTTGAGGCAGGCCGGCAGATCGGATTCACACGTTCGAATCCAATCCAAATGACAGACTCGGACGTAATATAAATATCAAACGCTTTTAAAGCCGAATATTTATTGAATCAACAAAAATTTCAAAATCTTTCAATTGATTCAATTACATGAATTGTCTGACCGAGAGAACCCGTTTCCTCTTTTCATGACATTCGTGAGATGCATGGCACACGTTATTTCGACGCTCTAGAAGAAATTTTCATGAATTCTTTTTTCTAACAAACCAATTTCCTCAGCAAGATCCATGAGAAAGTCAGTGCGTGCTTCTCCCTCGAATTCTCGCAAAGTGAGCTCTTTTATCGGCGCCTTACCCGTTAACCTATCAATTTTTTCATTATCGATTTTTAGCGAAAACTTACAAATTCAATTCGTTTTTTTCTCCAGTTCCTTTTTTTTGGCTTTTTTCTGGATCTTTATCACTAAATCGGGGTAGATTTTTTTACTTGTCTTAGCGCTTACCAATAAAAATACTTTGCCGGTTTTTGATGATCTTCATCTTCTTTTACTTTTACTGCTTTTAACCTTCTAAAATGTGGATAAAAATGTTTTGATACTTTTAAAAACTTGAGAAAGTTTGAGATGAGATTAAGTGGAGTGAGTGGTGGTGGGAAGAACATTTTGATCTCATATTCGACCATCCTTCGATACTTCAACGAACGCCAATTCTGTTCAGCTCGATCGCTCACCTCTTCATATTGTTGACTGAAGAAGATTAGGGAATTGTTTTCATTTTCAAATACTTGATAAGTGTTGTGAGAATATTGATGACGAGAATTGACGATGTGAGAGTGTACAAAAAGAGCACCAGTGGAACCAGCCAGCTGCGTACGGCACACTGAAACGAAACCTTTTGTTTGAATGTTGTTCTCCACTTTCGATTCTTCTACCCACTTGAACTGATTGTCCACTGAAATCCTGCAATTTCTCCCACTTGAAAGAAACATTACAACCCAAAATGCTACCTAAAAATTCTTTCATTCCATCATTTCATGAATCATTTACCTTCTTTCAAAGGAGTTTCAAGTTCTCCGAAAATTTCGAAAGCACCATTACTAAAAGAAGAAATGTATTAGATTTCGAATATAATTTACCTAAAGATCTGCCAAATAACACTGTGCTCTTCTTTTCGACCTTGTAAAGCAATCTGGAATCGTTTAAAAGTCATAAAGAAAGTTTTCTTCTTATTCTACCTGACAAACTCCATACACAATCCAAAATACAGCCAGAATTACCGAGAAATAAACAAAGAGTTGAACCTATACGATAAATGAATAAAGTTGAAAGAGAAAATGAACCATTCTGCGAATAGTCATCACAATAGAACCAAAAAATGGATCCACGGTGAAGACACGAAGCATTCGAATAGCCGAAAAAACGAATGAGACAAGAAATGTGACCTCGGAAGCCGATAACAAGAAAAGTCTAAATTTTTGAATTCATTCATTTTGAAATGCATTTCCTGAAAACTTTCTCACCGAATTACAGCAGTGATCGATTGGTTGGATTCCTTATTGTTTTCTCTACTAAGCACTTCTTGCATCGTCACATTTTCCACTTTTGCAGTCACTCTAAAGTTCGATATCGAAAAAGTCTTTTCCTTTCTTTTCCTTTCTTTTCCTAGTTCCGTTTAAAACCAAAAAAATACATCAACTGAATACCAATTGAGTCAATCTTTAAAAATTTACAATTCCTGAAGGTTCAATGAGATAGCTCGCTCGTTATCAATCAACAAAGCCGCGATGAGAAACACACTATTCACGACAACAATCAAAAAATGCAAAATCGTATGGAAATGATTGACTTTGAGGTGTTGAGATAGCTGAAATTTTGTATTCTATGATTTAATTCTTCTAAAGTTACCGTACTATTGAAAGCCTGTTTCCCACGTTCTTGTAATATGAATTCAATACAAGCTTCAACAAAAAACAAGGCCTGCCAGACGAGCATCAGTAAAGCCCACACAGTGAAGACGTTCATTACATTGTCAACTTTATGAGCTTGTTGAACATAAAAGCCAAAAACGATCACGTATATGGCATAGAGAAACTGTAAGAGTTGTTTTTCAAAGGCTCAAGCTCAAAGGCTCAAGCTCAAAGGCTCAAGCTCAAAGGCTCAAGCTCAAAGGCTCAAGCTCAAAGGCTCAAGCTCAAAGGCTCAAGCTCAAAGGCTCAAGCTCAAAGGCTCAAGCTCAAAGGCTCAAGCTCAAAGGCTCAAGCTCAAAGGCTCAAGCTCAAAGGCTCAAGCTCAAAGGCTCAAGCTCAAAGGCTCAAGCTCAAAAGCTTGCTTTAGTTACCGTATGCCAAGCAAATTTCCCGCAAGGAGAGCCATGAAATGCAAGGAAACGTTGCCATCTTGATTGATATTTCTCTCCTAGATTTTGAGTAAAAAAATCACTCAAGATTACTAACCAGTAAAATGAATAATACTCTTTGAGAATAGAAGTGGTAGGCCAAAGAATAAAAAAGTAAAGAAAAATATCTTCTTGTTGCAACTAAATGAATGATTGATTGTAAATGAATGATTTCAAAAAAACCGAAATCCAGGTTTCCATCGATCTTCCACGATTCGTTGGCAGCTCTTATGCGAGAAAAAGTTCTGAATTTTTCAAAGAAATCAATACTTTTTTGTTGACTCACTTCAGCATTACCCATATTCGCCAAACCGAGAAGTGTTCCACCGTTTGAGTCCATTTTCTCACTTGGAATGTAGCGCTCGCACAGCAATTCTCGTGTTCTTTTGAAGTCCGCCGAATGACACACTTCTAAGAGCATTTTGCTTGCTTCATCGAATTTTCTAAAAGTATCTTTAACTGTTTGTATGTTCAGTATACTTTTTCTGACTCATGAAGATGTCAGCGACGTCACTTTCATAGATGTAATCAAAGCGTGACCACAATTTTTCTGAAACGAAAATGACGAGAAGCGCCGAGTACAATGGAGCCTTGCACTCTTTCCATTTAGCAAACGTATCTCGATGTCTGAAAGCTACCTTTTAGCTTCATCTTCAGCTTCAGCTTCAGCTTCAGCTTCCGCTCCAGGTCCAGCTTCATCTTCAGCTTCAGCTTCAGCTTCATCTTCAGCTTCAGCTTCAGCTTCAGCTCCAGCTTCATCTTCAGCTTCAGCTTTCACTTACCCATAGAAAGCATAGCACAAAAGTTCTGCCAAATTTCTATCGTGCAAATCCTCGATTTTATGCTAAACGGTCAATATTCAAAGATAAAATTGGAATGGTTACTTTTTGAATCACAAGTCCCATGTAATGATTAATGACAGAAAGAATTCTTTCAGCATTCGTGTGATATTTGTTTGTTTCCTTTTTTTTCGGTGTATTTGCAAAAAATTTTCGTTGAGCTGCTCGATTCGGTAAACTGGATCCACTGTCTGAATGCAAATATTAGATTTTCTTTTGAATTTCCCACTTGTATGTGTCAAAATGGCTGATTTAGCGGATGGATTGCGCTCTCGATCGGAAAGATTCGCGTTTTTCTTGTCAAACATTTCCAACGAGGTGGCCCGTCTCTCGCCCAATAAAGGATTTCTTTCTTGAGCAGCTGAAGCAAACTTTCAAGTTTCACTTTAAAATTTACTTACCTTGATGTGAGGGATTATCATTATCTTCTTCGATAGAGAACAGGTGTGGCGGAGAACGAGCCATTTCAGAAAAAGCCCTCTCCCGATTCTCTTCCATATCCACAGAAATCTGAGGAATACCAATTTCCCCTCGTTTTGTCTTGGTTGGCTCTTGCTCAATGATTTCACTAGAATTTTGTGCATTGTCTTGAGGCCCAAGTGGCTCAAGTGGGAATTCGTTTGGTGCTTCCATTGTGGCATCATCTATCGAGTTCGTTTCATTGTTACTAAAATTTCTATCTCAGTTTCTCTAATACTAAAAACCCAAGAAGTAGCATTCGAGAAATCCATGTGAACGGACGCGTAGTATGTGAAAGTATTGGTACGGTTTGAGTCGCTGTTGGGCTTTCCAACTCCTCGATGGCATCGATGAAATCGGAAAGAACGAAGAGGTGACTCTAACAGCAAACATTGTACGCTCATAGCCCAAGCAAACCTCATGTTCGAGATCACTCAAAATTCTCAGTAAAGTATCTCTCGATTCTGTCATTGTTAATATAGAATCAAAAGGGAGGAGAAAAGTAGTTGATTTAGTGATGGAAAAGGGGAAATGATCAGTCTTATCAGTTGAATTGCAAAGAGAAAAGAAGAAAAGAAGACGTGGAGTAGACCAATCACTTTTCTGACTCACCACTGTTCTCCAAAATTTCAAAAACTAAATGTATAATCCCTAAAATTAGAAAAAGATTACCTAAGCTATCGATTTTTTTTTTGTTTTTTGTCAAGTTTTTAGATTCAATCGATATTTATTCACCACCGAAATCCCATGAAAATTCAAAAATACTATTGCAAAGCTGAGAAATGAGAAAAAAAACGAGACACCAGGTCTGCTAAGAATTCAAGCATGCATATATTCAAAAAAAAGCTGTACATTTTCCAAAATCAAATCTATAAAGGATCATTGAAAACTGAAAATGATAACCAAGTCCTCACAGAGGATCAAACATAGATTAGAACACACGTCTGATTCGTGCTTTGAGCCATCACCGCCGCTTTCTCGTATCCAATTCGTATCGTCATCGGCATCAATTTCCATGTACCCGGTTCACAAAAATACGGTGATTGGATTTGACGGTATAACTGGAAAAGTTCATCGCGATTTTTGTTTCAGATTCTTGCATTAAACACTACTTGATTCACATCAAACGATGTGTTTTCCATATGTGTGGTGAGCATTGTCGGCTTTCGCAAGCGTGAACTCTCAAGGAGTGACAGAGCTGAGTGTGAGGTCACTGGAATTATTTTTCGCTTAGAGAATCACTATTTTTTTTCAGTTGCTTTTTGATTTTTTATTCTTGTCTGCTATCGCTTACCCGATTTGCATCCACTAACGGTAAAATCCTCCAACAATGGGCAACGTCTCGCCACACACAACGCGTCCAAAAAAAAATGCCCTGGAATCAAAAATCCGAATTCGAACAATTCTTAGTTGTTGTCCAGACAAGAAAAATCCAAAGTTTGAGAAAAATCCCTCTACTCACAAAAAAGGTATTACGGCGTAAAGTTTTACGAACAAAATGTTAAGGAATTCGTCAAAATTTCGATTTTTCCGATTTTTCTCATATTCACTCCAGAAGAACGTGCCAAAAGATGTATTACAAAGTTGTAGCCCTGGTTTTACTCTTTCTAACGACACCCTTGCCATTTCTCTGCATTTTGTTTGCGATGAGTTCTGAGGTTTTCCCGGCGTCACTTTTATACAAATATAGGGAAGAGTGCCCATTTCAGGACCGCAGAAGCAAAATTGAGTTCCTAGGTGTTGTTATTCTGGACCTATATTAAAAACATATTAATTTTTTCCTAAAATAGTTTTTTATACTGACAATTCCGTGAGAGAACTTACATAGATCTGCCAGATAAGAGTCGAGAACGCGCCATGAATAGAGTGTGTTCCTCAAGAAATAGTGCAAAATAGGATTAAAATATATATAAATAGGATTGCATTTAAAATAAACTGAGTATCTTACAAATTGTAGAAGATATTCATGATATTCAGTTGATTGACTGACCTGAATCGTTTCCGTATTTCACACTATTTCTTAGAGGAACACACTCTAGTCATGAATGTCAGAAGAAACACAATTTATTGTATGCCTGCATTTATTTATTGTATTTATTGTATATTCATATATTATAAAACCTTATTATGAAACAATTTTCAGATGGCTCGGCCAACAAAGAAGGTGCTTTCAAGGAGACGTAATATAGAAGGTGGTCATCTCGCAAACCTCAAGATACCGAGCTCCAGTCAACGGCGGAACTCAAAAGCTGTTCAAGCCGAGCCTGTGAAGAAAGTCTTGAAGAAACGCCCTGATGTAAGCCAGCCCTTTGATCAAGTACAGCATTTGGAGAATGCTCGCCAACGACGAGCTGAGAAAGCTGACGAAAAGAGATCCCAGGAGAAAGCGAGACAAAATGCTGTCTTAGTGACACAACTGAAGAAACAAGTGACCAATTCGCAAAGCAAGCAATCCGTACCAGCAACACCAAGGCGGTCGGCTTCTCCCGGAAAGGCGTTAGCACTCAAAAGAAAAGCAGGGGTCTCAGACCGCGGATTTTCTAGAATCAACACGTTTGTGCGGAAGGCTTGTGATTACCTCATTGGATCTAGCAGACAGTTGCGCTCATGTCGGAAGAAGCTTGAAGAAATTGTGGAATACGTAATTCACGACGATAATGAAAACGAAGACGACGAAAGCGAACCCAAGAAAAGCATACGCCTCTTGAACGTGGGGAGGGTGCTGGCGGAACGGGAAAATCGCTTGAAGTTGGACCCAGATCAAAAGAAAATCGTGGTGTTCTCTCTTGATAAAGGCCATAATCGAGTCATGGCTACGGTCTCATATCCAAACAGCAAAAAGCCGTGCTCGGTTTTTAACTTTCTCCCATTGATCGTATGGGAAGGCCCGGATAATTACTCAGAATTGCAAGAAAGAAATGTGGCTGACTATTATGAGCAATTGACAAAGATGGGCTACGAAGTGTTACTTGGTGGAGACTTATTATTTTTGACAACAAATGCTGGCCTTGGAAATGGGATGCGATTCAGCTGTCTTTGGTGTTCGAAAGAGTTCGACAAAGGCAAGAACAAAGACAATGATTCGATCGATTTCGTGAAGCACTCGCCACGAAGCAAGGCTTTGGAGGATATGATTGCAACTTTAAAGCTGGTCCCCAAAAAAGAGGATGTGATCCCGGTGCCAAAAAAAACATGGTTATTCCATTCCACCGATCCTTCACACCAAGATCAAGGTGGGCAACTATTTGTTTGAAAAAAAAATGCTAGCTTTGGAAGGATCATCAAAAGCGTTCAAGCAAGTTGTAAAAAAAAAAAACGATATTTGACTGTGAATAGGAAAGAGGAAGGAGTCATTTACCACAGATTTCATGGTAACGATATCAAATGCTTATGTGTGGCACTTCCTGTGATTATAAGCACCACATTGCGTCGGGTCCTCAATCTCCACGTCAACTGAGTACTCCAAGGTGATCGAGGCTATGGAAGCTTTCAATGACTGAGCACAGCTAGTCTCGTCGATGGAAACGGGCCTAGATAACGTGAAAATTGCCGAAATTGCGTGCAAAAACCAGCACACAGCTGAGAAAGATTGTTGTCAAACGGCAATTCTTTGTGCTTCACTCGAAAAAGTCGGCGGGCTTGGATCTAGCGCCCTTATTCACTGTATTTTCTCGCATTTGGGTTCGTTTCTGGCACAACATCGGATGATCGGAGCCGTGGCCGAAGAGGGCGTTGAAGAAAAAAAAACCACACAAAAAAAAACAAAAAAAAAAATAACCAAAAAAAACCAAAAAATAAAAACAGGAAGATTAAAAAAAAAAAAAAAAAAAAAAAAAAAAAGCACCAAACAAAAAAAAAAAAAATTCCCGGGGGGAAGGAAAAAAAAACAAAAGGAAGCTAAAGTCCACAGTGAGCTGGAAACGGAGATCAAGCGCCACAAGAAGAGCAAAAGCGAACGACTTCTTCAGGCTGTGAAGTGGTTAGGCATCCAAGTCCTTCTAAATGATGCTGGGGAAGAAGTTGAGGAAGAAACTTTCGTAAATTAGTTTGTTTTATCTATCACTTTTATCATATTATTACTATAAATAAATACAAATAAATATTCTTTTATGAAATATACTGAAGTTCACATCTTCTGGAGTGTTTTTTAATATAGATCCAGAATAACAACACCTAGAAACTCACCTAGAACTCAATTTTGCTTCTGCGATCCTGAAATGGGCACTCTTCCCTATATTTGTCTAAAAGTGACGCCGGGAAAAACCTCAGAACTCATCGCAAATAAAAAACGCAGAGAAATGTCAAGGGTATCGTTAGAAAGAGTAAGACCAGGGCTACAACTTTGTAATACATCGTTTGGCACGTTCTTTTGGAGTGAATATGAGAAAAATCGGAAAAATCGAAATTTTGACGAATTCCTTAACATTTTGTTCGTAAAACTTTACGCCGTAATACCTTTTTTGTGAGTAGAGGGATTTTTCTCAAACTTTGGATTTTTCTTGTCTGGACAACAACTAAGAATTGTTCGAATTCGGATTTTTGATTTTAAGTCAAAAGTGTTTTCCCATAGTAGCGGATTCGATGTGCCACAGATCGCGCCAATCCATCAGTCACCTGTGCATTTGGTTCAGTCGGGTTTTTTCTTTATATCACTGCTTACCATATTGCAATTGGTGATCTTAATCGTAGAAAGGTATTCAAATGAAGTGGTCATAATTCGGATTAGAAATCTCTCAACCTCGATTCCGTTCGGAAAGAGACAATCCTCATAAATGATCTATAAATCTTATTTCGAAATGTGCTCTAAATTCCTCACTTCATTCACCAATTGAGCTTTCATCGCTTTCTCGCGGTCGTTAAAAGGCCTCACCCTCTTTTGCTTATTCCCAATTCGTTGACTCTTTTCTCTGACCAACTAAATAAAGTGTATAAATGTCACGTTTGAATCCGGTGCAGCGTTCGAACCAGGCTCGGACGTTCGAATCCGATCAGATGATCAGATCAGATTAGATAGAGTCAGACGATGCCACGTTACATTTTTGCTTTATCATTAACCTTTTTATTTGTGCTTACATCTAGTTTTTTACTAAAATTTTTTATTCAGAATGGAATCCGTGTTTGACGAGCAACTAGACAAATTTCTTCAAGATCGACACCTGTTTCCCAGCAAGGCGACTTTTGAAGGGACAATCAGCAAGCTGCAATCTTCATCATTCAATTCCCGAAAAAGAGATCTCTGTGAGAACTGCCGTTAGAGCATCGATGACGGGAAGTCATCGTGAGGATTTTTGATTGGATAGATTGGATAGTTTTTTGTATTGATTTCGTTAATTCTAGTCATGACTTCAGGCCATGCTCACTGCATGTGTCTGGGCAGATACACCACGAATCGAGGTTCATGCTGAAAAAAGAGTTGCTTTGCAACCCTAGATGCCATCATTCACGTAGTTGCACTAATAAATTTTTTTATTGCTTTTTCTTGTTCTTTTTGCATTTGTTGTTTACCCAATCTTTATTTGTTTTTTACGTTTTGATAAAAGTTAACTGGTAAAAAAACATCAGATTGCGTCGCACTAAACCTACCGTAAATACTGTAATAGTAGCCCACCACCCATAATGGCGGTGCGGAGTGTTGCGTAGTCTAGCTTTGAACGAGCTTTTCTCGACACTGTCTTATGCTATAATGCTCGCTTAGGTATCAAAAAATAGCCCTGAATTTCAGCTATTTTTTGATACATAAGTGCGCATTGTAGCATAAACCAGTGTCGAGAAAAACGCGTCCAAAGCTAGACTACGCAACACTCCGCACTGCCATTATGGGAGTGGGGTACTATTACAGTATTTACGGTATGTCTTTAAGAAGCTAGAGTTTTGAAGCAGGCCGGCAGACCGGATTCACACGTCCGAATCCAATTCAAATTACAGACTCGGACGTAACATAAATATCAAACGCTTTTAAAGCTGAATATTTATTGATCCATTGAGAAAGTCAGTGCGTGCTTTTCCCTCGAATTCTCGCACAGTGAGCTCTTTTATCGGCGCCTTACCCGTTAACCTATCAATTTTTTCATTATCGATTTTTAGCGAAAACTTACGAATTCAATTGGTTTTGTTCCTCCATTTCCTTTTTTTGGCTTTTTTCTGGATCTTCATCACTAAATCGGAGTAGACCTTTTACTTCTCTTAGCGCTTACCAATAAAAATACTTTGCCGGTTTTTGATGATCTTCTCTCTCGAATTCTCGCAGCTCTCTTATCGGCGCCTGATCTTCTCTTACTTTTAATAACCTTCTAAAATGTGGATAAAAATGTTTTGATACTTTTAAAAACTTGAGAAAGAGATTAAGTGGAGTGAGTGGTGGTGGGAAGAACATTTTGATCTCATATTCGACCATCCTTCGATACTTCAACGAACGCCAATTCTGTTCAGCTCGATCGCTCACCTCTTCATATTGTTGACTGAAGAAGATTAGGGAATTGTTTTCATTTTCAAATACTTGATAAGTGTTGTGAGAATATTGATGACGAGAATTGACGATGTGAGAGTGTACAAAAAGAGCACCAGTGGAACCAGCCAGCTGCGTACGGCACACTGAAACGAAACCTTTTGTTTGAATGTTGTTCTCCACTTTCGATTCTTCTACCCACTCTTGAACTGATTGTCCACTGAAATCCTGCAATTCTCCCACTTGAAAGAAACATTATAAACCCCAAAATGCTACCTAAAAATTCTTTCATTCCATCATTTCAAGAATCATTTACCTTCTTTCAAAGGAGTTTCAAGTTCTCCGAAAATTCTCGAAAGCACATATTAAAAAAGAAGAAATGTATTAGATTTCGAATA